TGAAAGGATGGTTTCGCAGTATGCAGTGATGGTTATAACTTATGCATTTAAAATTTGGAGTCTTAGCTTGAAAATTCATCTACTAGTAGACAGTACTTTAGTCTACATGTATTTAAATGTTTGGTCCATACTTCCTCTGTAGCATTTCAGGAATTAAATATTTCTCCAAGGAAGTGTAATGAGGGAGTTACATTCACATTAAAACTAATATTGCACATGATTGACTGAACAAAATGTACTCGGTAAGACTAAGGGTAACACAAATATGCCACGTACCCTCTTCTCATTGTCAGTACATGTAATTATAACATTTAACAAAAATCTTCTGGAAACACAAAATCATGTATTAGCTAACTGTCAGATAGGACTGTTCAAAGTTATCATAGTGAGTTTCAGTATCAATAATTATGATTATTTTGACTCATTTTGCAACAGGTTTAGGAGGGGCTGACAATGACTTCTACATTGTAACAACTGAACACTAGGTGTAACCATTGTCGACTACATGTATCATAAAATCAAATCAAATCAACTTTATTGCTCAACAACTGTAGCTGGTACAATGTATGGCAAAGAAACAACAATGGTACATACATCAACTAATGCTAAGATATAATTCTAACTAGCTAGTCCATAATGATACTAAAGCTAATCTATTGTGTTTTCTTAGGAAGAGTATTATTACATTCTGTAATTCAGGGGATATATCAGCTATTTACAATCTGGTGTCGCTTTTGTAGTGATTCGAATATGAATTTTCCAACGTACACTGATATCTGAGTAGGACATGAAAGGAGAGTATTAAAGATATCTGATTTTGAGTGAGGTAGCGTAACATTAGTTTTGGAAGCTATGGATTGCATCAATATTTGTCTGTTTTCTTCATATATTGACTAATTCACATTACACCCATCATTCAGGACTGTGTCAGTGTGTGGCCTTTAAATCCTACAAAAGCCACACATCCCAGAATTTAGTGATACATCTAAATTTGTGCTAAACTACATAATCTGTGTATCATGCTGTTAAAGTCCTTGGAAAATCGCTAATGACTTCTGACTTCCGACAACACTACAAAACTTAAAGGCAGCTTAGAGTACAGCAGCCAAAGTCTTGTGTGTAAAATCCCTTGATTGCATACATCATTTAAGCTTGACAAAAGTTATCGTCACCTCGTGTTATGCTGGGGGACACAGCCTACGTAAGTGGTGACATTACGGCATTGAAACTCACTGATCCAAACATGAATTATCCACTGTTATTGTGAACACCAAAGGCACGCTGTCCTTCAAACCTGCCAGCCAGACATTTAAATGGACCGATTAAAATTCTAAGACTTTGATTGACGATTTTGTGTACTAGAGTGGAATCGCACTATAAGCATTCTTGTAAACACTGCATATGCTGTATATGGGTCTATTTTGACTATTGACTGTTACAGCCATCTACCATAGGTGTGTCCTTGTAACCTTTAAAGGTTTCATGATCTGTGTAATCAGTAAGAAACTCATGTTGAGAGTCACTGACGAGGGCTTCATATCTTTAGTATCTTCCTGCAAAAATGCTTCCTCAAGAATGCTTAGCTACCAGACAGGTATACAGATCTGAAAGTTAACTCAGTGTTCTTGACCTCCAGGGGTTGAGGTGTCTGGAGTTTGGCAGATGACTCTATTATTATTTACTGACCTGAAAAAAAAGGGATTTAAAACCCCACCACAGCAACCATGCTGCACAGGTCTCCAGTCAGACTTAGCAATTTTGTGCCTGACTAAATCTATTATTCTACATGCCATTTTTGCTCTGGCCAAAGAAAAACAGATGTAGGGCCAGCCCATATTAAGTTACCACTATTAAACCTTAGCAATGTTAAAAAATGACAGTAACGTGTTTTTAGAATTTGTAGGTGTGTGTATGCATGTGTGTGTGTGTGTGTGTGTGTGTGTGTGTGTGTGTGTGTGCGCGCGCGCATGTGTGTGCATGTGTGTGTCTTTCTGTTTGTTTGAGTGGCATATTTTACAACCATTACAGTTTTTAAATGTCTTTCAGCTGCGTAAGAACAAGCCCTCTGCATTGTTATCTGAGTGTGCACTTGCTTATATGCCAATGCTTATTTGAATACAGTAATGTAACAGGAAGAAGACTTATAAGCTTTAGATTCATCAACCAAACAATTAACCAACAAGCCAAACATCCATCCAGCTAGCAAACCAGCTATCTAGCCAACCAACCAACCAACCAACCAACCAACCAACCAACCAACCAACCAACCAACCAACCAACCAACCAACCAACCAACCAACCAACCAACCAACCAGTCTAGAATAATGACTGAGACCACCATGTTGTGTAGATCACTCAGTGTTCTTCACTTCACTTGTCACAAAAAGTCACACATGAGGCAGACCTCATCAGTAACACATGTACTAAACAAAAGAATTCTTGCTTTATAAACAAGATAGAACTTTATCATACACCGTGAGCCATATGCTAAATCTACTGTTGCTATTTTTGCAGCGTGATGCAAAAATTATACGACTGGTACATTCTGGTAAGAATGATCAATATCGTCACTCATATTTTCTTGCATCATGACTCATGACTCATGACTCAAAAGGCCAGTTTTTCCAAACCTACTAATAGAAGAGCTACTATGTATAATAGAAGAGCTACTATATAGCGGGAAGGCATTTTCTTGAACAAGTCCGACAATTCTTCTTGAATTTTTTTTGCAGATTCCAACTATGTTACCGTAAGCCTTTCTGATGTTACCTAAATGTTGGCATAGTGAACTTGATTGCTCATTTTTTAGCGGCGAGAAACCTCTCGTTGATGTTCTCCCAGTTGACCACGTTCCAGATGGCGTTGACGTAGTCTGGTCGGACGTTCTTGTACTGTAAGTAGTACGCGTGCTCCCAGACATCGATACCAAGGAGGGGGACAAGACCTGGGGGCAACAGTAGTGACAGTTATTCTGATTTCTTCTAGCACTGACGACTTGACACTGTTAGAATAGCAGCAACACCAAATTTTGTGAACTAGACACATTTAGCTTGGCCTATAATCTATTCTATGCCTGCCCTCAAACATTGCTTCCACACAAAACAGTCTGGCACCCATCCCTAGTGCTATTTAAACAATTGGTCCGTATAATTATACATCCTGCATTATTGTGGGAATCAAATACTAGTAACTGGGCTTGAACTTCTCAATGCTTATTGTTTGATTTTCATTACCTTGCTATTATGAGAACCATGTGGCTCGGAGCCAATCACAGCTCTCTCCTATATTTTAAGCAAATATTTGCCAATAATTTCTCCATTGAAAAATGAGAGATTTTCAGCAAGGGAAGTGATCAAATGAGTGATTGGGGCCAGAATAGAATGGATTCTAGGCTATATTTAGTTAACATCCCACTTAATCATCTCACTCGTGAAGGTGTCATGGATGTGAGACCCACAGGAGTTGTTATGTTACTAACATCTCTGCTTTGTTTCTCTTTATCGTGATATATACCTGGAGAAATCACTTAGGGTCAATGCGTTTACCGTAAAAAGATGAGACAGTTTATTGAACGACCATGGAGGTCTGCAGAATGAAACACTGCCTCAAAGGAAGCACTTCTAATCCATGTAGGCAACTTTGAACATAATAACTACTTTTTCCTCCCTGGGTGTCACTGACACTGAGGAGGCATTTTAACCCTCCTTGGCAGTGTAATAACTGTTATCATCTTGTATCTAAATGACATGGTAAGGTATGGCATACTTCAAATGCTGTTTTTACGTCAAGTCAGAAGCCATGGAATCCCCTACTGGGCTATAACATGTGACTGAAGTAAACTAAACATATTCAATTATTGTATGCAAGGAGACTTAAATGTTATGTACGTTAGAAACAATGTTATGTACGTTAGAAACAATGTTTTTTGAAAATGTAGGATTTTTGTGAATTTGGGCTAAGGTCTTGAACAAAGTTTAACCTGTCAGGCTTTTCTCCACTGTTTTGGAAATCAGCTGCTGTTAATGTGTTATTACAAATGTATATTATTAGTGCAAGGCTTAATCAATTTAATGACAATTTCTAAGACTCACCAACAATTCTAGCGTGTGAATAAAAACAAATCCATCCATTATGACTTCTTTACACAAGGCACCTTTCTGAGCTTTTGAGAAATTCTTTAAGTCTTTGTAAAAGTATCTTGTGTTGAATTTTCAGGGAATTTTTGACATTTCAAAGCCAGTACATTTTTTTTTAAAACCCTTCAGTACCTAGGCTTTTTCACCTTCACCTCAAATCCTGCTCCATTGTTTACTTAAAGTCTGATAAACATCTTATCATCCCAGCATGGTTGTGTCTTTGTCCTCTTAAGGTGCATATCAGTCATTATCTTAAGATAGGAGTGCAGCATTGTTTAACTACTGATGGTAAGTCAGATTACAGAAATCCCTTAAGAGGGCTTTTGTCCTTTTCTTAAATGTGAAAAGTCTCTCAGCTTATCCTACTGGGCCAGATATAATAACAAGTCTATGTCCTAATTCTTAATGTATAATAGAATTAACCTTCTCCCTGCTGCCTAATCCCATAACCAATAGAAGTTGGGGGGGGGGGGGTAAAATAGCAGGAAGAAGGTTAATGATATCAGAGATTTGGAGGCCTTCGTTATCTGTGTCAGATATGTATATATGGTATAAGGCCTAGGAAAAAACATCTTGCGTTTCCTGGGATTATCTTTTTTCCTTTTTTTTAAACTTCAGTGTTATCTATATAGGGGTCCAACTTATACAATACTGTACAGTTTAACAAAGTAAAACTTGCATGAGAACACTTGTCAATGTTAGAAAGGCAATTGTACAACGTTTTATCACTCAGGTGTCAGATCATGGAGCTAGAAAAGGTTGATCAGCTCGAAAAATCAAATTTTATGTCCCTTGCAGGGGTCCACCCCCCAAAAAAGTCTATGGTCGGCAGGTTTTTCTAGGGTCGGTCGGGAAACAGGAAACAAAACATTTTCTTTCCTAGGCCTAACATTACTATAACTTTCTGTTGGTGTAACACTGGCTTCACAGGCATACCGTGGCAGCTAGGTTGATATATTACACTGAACAACCTGTCTCACCTAACCTTTGCACATCTAGCTCCAGGCATTGTTAAAGCTATCTAGTAAAGATGCCCCTACTGTACTTGTTGCCACAAAGATCAAAGGTCCCAGAAAAGGTTATCTCATTTTTATGTCTTCCGACATACTAAATTTTGTATATGCTGTTGTATTATGGACGCCAGGGAGGAAACACAGAGAGACAGATCAGACAAAATCAGCAAGAAATCAGCAAGAAATTTCAAAAATCAGACAAAATCAGCAAGAAATGAATGAGGCAAGAAAATCACAAAAACTCTCATGCATGTATGGCACTATAGTACCTGTGGTTGCTTGTAGGGGGTCCTGGTTAGCGCAGGCAGCGATGCTCAGTCGGTTATTTTCCTTGTCGTATCCCAGCCACCCCCATCCAGACCCCTGCACGGCTACAGAAGCTGCCGACATCTTCTTCTTCAGGTTCTCAAACGAGCCAAAGTCACGGTTGATCGCCTCAAGTACTTCTCCTGTGGACAGAAGGGTGGGAATGTTTGTTTGTGTATTTGTTGTGAAGTTAAAATCAGAGGTAAATATTAACACATAAAGGTAAGTACTGCAAAGTATTGTGACTGTGGGAGTAATGTATTCTTAATCTTGAAACATTAGTGATGGTTTTATTTTCCTGGTAAGGTCTTACCACGAAATCATGACACTGTGAATATAATTCCAATATGTTACTACTTACAGATGGTTTCAACTGGGGCCACTGCAACTTAAAACACCTCAAAAACACCTCCTCTCCTATCTTCCCTTCCCTACATTGAGTCCCTGCAAACAAAAATGAATTTACAGAGTACATGTGCCAGTGACTGTGGCTAAAGAAGACATCTGTCTAAGACTCTTACCCTGCGGCTCCCCTCCCCCATTAGGAGACAGGTTGGTCCAGAAGATGGAGTGGTTCAGGTGACCGCCACCATTAAACTTCAGCGCTGGGCCCAGAGCAATCTCTGTGGTCACATCACCTAACATCAACAACAATAATTAATAACAACATGAACAACAATTACAACAAAAACAGCTTCAAGACTGGGCCCAGAGCAATCTCTGTTGTCACATCACCTAACAATGACAACAACAACATCAACATCAACAAGAATAACAACAACAAAGACAACAACTTCAACAACAACAATAACTGCAACATCAACAGCAGGCTTAGGGTTGGGCCCAGAGAAATCTCTGTTGTCATATCACCTGACATCAATAATAACAACATCAATCATATTAATCATCACTTAAATCAACAATTAAAACATCAATCTTCTTGGATAGCTAAAAATACTAGTATGTATATCCTTATACTTTAAAACACATAATTTATATACATGTAGTTTTAGTCACTGTATTTTCCCACTGCATAATCCAGCCCTTCTACCTTTAGCCTGTGCCTCAGCGAGTTTCTCCTCGGCCACGTTGAGGTTGTTGACGTAGGTGGCGTGGTGTTTGGAGTGGTGCAGCTGCATGATCTCCGCGGAGATGGTTGGCTCCAGCGCCCCGTAGTCGTACGGCAGGTCGGGGAGGGTGTGCTTCAGCCGTGTCCCCGCCGCGGCCATCAGTCCGGGGTGGGACGCCACCCTGCAGGTCATGGTGGTAAGGCAGCCAGAGCAAGTTCAGGGCAGCGAAACAAAATAAAATCTGGCATTCAAGGAATCTGTCTGGTAACTAACAGTTACTGCCATTTCTTAGCACAATTTTGTCATCAATTCATACATGAAGAGTTTGAAATAGCCCAGAAACAGACTTTGCAACTGAGGAGTCTCTTAAGTTTTTGGGTACCGCCCATAAATAGCAAGAACAGGCAATACAATACAAAACAAGCAACTGTTTTCCGTCACAGATATCTTTGCTATATATGGGATATGGTTGATAGAACTTACTGCCTATGAGCAAAAAATTAAATTCAAAAATCCAGTTTTGCCTCCATGAAATTGTGTTGGGGGGAGAGGGATGGAAGGAGGTGTTGCCTTTCTGGTGCTTTAAGTTCAAGGTTGAAACATTACAGTACAGAGCACATGTTCACGGTATGATGAATCTGTGACATTTTGCAACATTTCTGGAACATTTCCATCTACAGAGCCTTCAACTCTTGACCTCTGGGTTACAGAAATTAGTTGTAACATAATCCAGAAATTTGTTGTAACATTATATAAATTTGTTGTGACATTATTTCAAGTGGCAGGAGTCAAAAGCTACACTGGTCATGTAAGATTTATCTACCTACAGTCAAACCTGTCAAAAGTCACTACACAGGCAGGAGGCCAATTATAGAAAATATGTGTAACATGGCTACCTCTGACCCAAATAAACATGGATACAGCGTATCACTGTGAGTGTGAGTCATAAGCAGTCAGGTGTAAAAGTACTAAAACTAGATAATTATAAGGACCTTCCAAAGTATGGTAAGTCTCCAAATGTTTGCAGAAGTTTATTTTCCTGGTTTCACATGAAATGACACAGCTAATAATACTTTCATGTGTATTAGTTTTGTACTAAAGAACTGTTTCAATTACGAGTACATTGTTGTACTTAAAACACTCAGAAAACCTCCTATACATACATCTCCTCCTATGAAGGAATTAGGTCCCTGCAAAAACATAGTGATTTACAGTACCTGCACACAACCCAATTTCTTTGAACACAAAGTGTTGTGTTTTGAATGCATTCTTATATAATCCTACCTGTAATAGTAAGATCTTTGGGTCATTGACCTCCTGGCTTCAGACCCAGGAGGTTGATAGCCTGGTTACCAAACCTATTATAGCTCCCGAGTTTTGGTAACCAGGCTAGGACGTTGACCCTGTTTATTAATATCTTCCCATAATCCTCCATATTTGCCTTGGGTGCTGTAGGTCTTGGGGGCTTTAAACACTCTTCAAAAAACTTTTCACTACTCTTTGGATGCAATGAAAAGAATCATAACATATGCAAAATCCTGATTGCCTCTGATTTCCAAGTAAAAAAAGTTGGTTTGTGTTAACTGACAGTCTAGTCAGAGGAGAATAGAGATAGAAAAGCAACATCCTTGACAGGTGTGGCAGTAATGCGACTTTAGTTCAATTTCAGTCTTTGCTGCCCTTATGAAATCATCTTCTATCTAGTGATCGTCTAACTCTAGGGATGTTTGGCTTGTAAACATTCTTCCTTATATACATCTAGCTAGTGTATTCTTGTAGCTATTCCTTATGACTGCAACTAGTTTTCACTCTTTGCAACAGCGGTTTTACTTGGCTAGCCTAGGTGCCTTCCGATTTGTAATGGCAACCCCGAAACAATTTTTTGGGGTGTTGCCTTTGCAAATCGGATGACATCCAGGCTATCACTTGGCCAGATATACGGGCTGAAATTAAACTTCACCCTAGTGTCATGGGCCACTGCATGTTTGCTGCAGGTAGACATCAGAAACACCTGTGCCATCCAAGAGCCTAAAGATGTGACAAAAACGCCACCTTGCAGGACACAGGAAAAGTGCTGCAGTCTTACTCAGCTATGGTGACCTTGTGAACTGCATCCTGACGTTATCCCTTTTCGCTGACTCTATTCTACATAGTCACCGTTAAATTCGTTTACCATTTAGCAAGACAAAACCTTATGCAACTTCTCTGGGTATTCGCTTGTCATCTGCTTTGTTTCTGAGCCCTAAAATCCCAGGTCTTCGCGTAACGTGCAAAATTATGTTATGATCCTGACCAAAGTTAACTGTGCATTTACACACCACAGTGTCCATGAAGAGAGATTCAACCTTAGCCAAACTGTCAAGAAGAATTGCGAGATTCGCTAGGCTCACCTTTGGGTCAGTTTGACGCATGACAACATCTTGGTGCCTAAATCTGTTTTCCAAGGATCACAGCACGCAGCTAGCTATCTGGAGAAGGGGGAGGGGTGATTAGACTGTGCCACTTGTGGGGGAACTTCTAAACTAACATGCTATCAGAAAGATATTCTTTGGTGGAAATCATCCCAGTGTGTTTAAATGACAGCTATAAAATGTTTAGTATGGTATTTTTGTGAAAAATGTACCAAGTTTTATTTCTACGATGAAACATTCTATTCCGCAGGATCAAAATATATCCTGCCTTCCCCTACAACAATTTGGAAAGGTCGAAGTTACCCACAGTGCTTTGTATGCATATTTTGCACATGGCGGGCGTCCATCTTGAAAAATTGTATCTGTGATCTCCGAGGGAAGAAGCGAGCGTAGATGCATCGCTCTGCCTGAAAAACGCCGTTTCTGGATTACCAACGATAGGAGAGGGACTCTAGATTCGAGAGGTAAGCTCCTTAGAGGGGGGAAGTTCTCCATCGAAAGGAAATCAAGCGTTCCGTGTAGGCGGGTCGACCGCCATTTTGGTTTCTTGTGTTCGCTACCGAAAAGGCAACTTCAGACTTCTTGAAAGATTCGTCTCCGGAGTGTTTCGTATCGTGCTTATCGAGGACATCAAACCATCACACGGGTTCTAAAGGATACATAGAACACGTGGACGGAGAGCAGTCTTTATCAAATTGCCGTAACTTCGTGTAAAACAACATGAACCGAAACCACCAGTTGACCCATAACTATTTACACCAGAGGCGTCTTCGTTCTCTAGTGACCTTAACCAAGTTCTCTGACACTATAGCCCTTCTGATGTCCATCGGTTGATTTCCTAAATGTTTGAACTCTGTGATTTTCGTTTCTCGTTGGAAATGAACTCGTTTGTGGCTAGATTTTAAAGAAATTCGCTCAGTTCATGTTTTGTAAAGTTTTGACCTCTGACCTCTATATGCATACACAACAGATTTTAGTGCAAGACTGCATACTTTGCGGACTTTTTAACATCAAGAGACAGGAAACAACGGTTTTAACACAACAAGTGCAGTGATATCTTTTTAGGAACAAATGGACAGGTCTAGCAGTATAAAAAAGGATGTTAAATCATTGCAAGACTGATTTGAGTAAGTAATCTGTAAGTAATGTGATGATCTGCATGGATATCAAATGTACTGTGAATGCAGGTTTCATTTTGCAGTGGTTTTATTTTTGTCGTTTAAGTAATGACGCGACATATTAACACCACAAGTATGTTTTACAGAATTGTTTCAACCGTGAACTTTCACCATCTACCTTGTACTGCATAAAAGTATAATCACTGCAAAGGTAAATGCATACATGTAAATTTACAGTACCTGATGCTGCCTTATATGTCATGTTCCAACGTCAAACCCTAAATAAACTATATTATTATTTTTCAGGGTCTAGAGTCATGTCTGAGGGTGACCCTCCACCCAAAAGGGTAAGTGCTCTGAAAAAATTTCAACAGATTTCAACTGTTTGGTAAAACCCATAGTTACGCCAAGACTGTCAAAAGTATAGGGGGAAAGGTCAGATGTATACCAAAAGCCACCAAACCACACTGGCTTTATGGTAACATGAAGCAGTGTATTTTATTGCCCCACCAAAAATCAATACCTTAATTTTGTTTGAGGCTGTACTAGTGTAACCTCTGATGTTAGTGGGGCAGTGGGCACATTTGTCACAACTTGGGCAAAGGTCGGTCTTCCCTAGTGTATGGGGTAAAGATTGCAAAGAAGACAAATTTGCCAACCCCAATACATAAAATGTGTAGGGCAATACGGCAATGTCTTTAGTTTAAAATGGGTGGCACTCATCTTAAATTTTATAAATCATTCACAGTATTTTTTTTTATTTCAAGCTTGTGATTAAGAATGTTGTCTAATTATTAGTACAGAGTAGATGCTCGCATCACATTTTGATTGTTATTATTTCTTTGTGTTAGTAACATGAATGTTGATGTCTTTATTTCCAGGTGAAACTAAGTGAAGAGGAAGTCAGGAAACTACCCAGAGATGAGCTAGTCAAAATGTGAGTAAATCTAGGTCTTGTATAGGAAAAAAATAATAATAAAAAGCAACTAGATTGAAGTTTCTTTTTTGCTACATGCCTATAGCTATGGTAAAAGAACATTGCCTTTGTTTTTCACAGCTGGTCAGAACAGAATGCATATGTCCAGTCTCTGGAGAATAAGAACAATGCAGGACCCAGCTCAAGTACTGAATGTAAGTACAAAGTGCTGTATTTACATCTGTATATAAAGATATGGTATGCACATGTACATAAAACCAACAAAAGACCATACAAATCCTCTCGTATGGTAATATATTGTTTCTTGTCCTGTCATTGTGATATGTAAAGCCCACACTCACTGTCCTAGTGCTGTGTACGGGTTCCCGGACTAGTAAAAATGTTTAGGTTCAAGAACAAAAAAAAACTAAAAGTCAAGAACCGATCCCGGACTCATTGCAAAAAAAAAGGACTCTCATACCCCTTTTCTTTCCAAATCACCGAAAACCTTCCATATATTGCAAAATCTGTGCTGCAAAATGAAGAAAACATTGTCATCGGGCATTGTCAAGTGTCGGCCTACTGTTATGTGGCCACAGTTTTGCCCATACAACATTGAAAGGTTGCCAACATGCAGTTTTGTACATGCCATGGGTTTGGGTCCGGACTTACGAGTCCGGAACTGAACCTAAACCTATGGACTTGAATCCAGACCTGGACCTAAATGTGGGTACACAGCACTACTCAGTCCTGACATTAACCTTGCCCCCTCCCGCCCCGCCCCGCCCCAGGTGAAGAACTGACCGGTCTGCGTGAGTCTGAGGAGAAACTGAAGCAGCAGCAGCAGGAGTCAACCCGCCGCGAGAACGTCCTCGTCATGAGGCTCGCCACCAAGGAACAGGAGATGCAGGAGATCGCCGTAAGTCTCCGTTTTCTACAGTAGGCATATAAAAACAGAAACCAACACACAAAACTAGAAAGGTAACATTTGCAAGGCAAATGCATAATGTTTACCTTCGCATATGGTCTGCTCTGTTAATTCTTACTCAAATACATTCACATATATATATGGTCAGACGGGAGTCTAAATCCCTCTTGCTTTAAAATTGCAACATGATGTTAGCCAACACTAGTTACCGTGGTGACAGACGTCTGGTTCAGGTTATTGACCTTATTGGTGTGCAGAAGAAGAAGAGGAAACAGAGCAAAAACAATTATGTTTTCCTTCGGTAAACATAAATTGAAACGCAAAGAATGGAGATTGACAGCTATATAGATGGCATTAGGGCAGGAACTAGAGTCCAGATATCAGGTAAGTTGACAAATTTTGAGGGGTTTGCATGAGAGCCCAACCAGTCTTCCCCATAGAATTAACATCTCCATTCTCACCTGCAGAGTCAGATCCAGGAGGTGAAACAAGGTCAGACCCCAGGAACAGCACAGCTGCGCACCATGCTGCTGGACCCTGCTGTCAACCTGCTGTTCACCCGCATGAAACAGGAACTCACCGACAGCAAGGACAAGCTGGAACAGGCACAGAACGAGCTGAGTGCCTGGAAGTTCACCCCAGATAGGTGAGACTGGGGAGGGATGTACACAGAAGTCTCATAATACCTTATCAGTTCAACCTTGTTTAGGAGAACGAGAAGTACCTTCTGCAGTAATCCTGTGAATTTCCAGGTGGCACACAGATCCCAATCAAAGCAAAGCAAAGTTATCATCACAGGCTCTGCATTTTGTACATCCACTCAGCTCATCAGACAAACTGTTGTTGGACACATTTTCTAAAAATGCACCAAGGTTTGCTTGGGTACTAGCTTATACTATAGTTTGAGTCACAGATAGACAGAAATTTGTTGACAGGAAAAAAAAAGGTTAGATTTCCCTTTTATCTTAATCTTACAGTCAAGCATCTCTCAGCTTCAGATCAGTGGCTTCTGTTATGATCTTTGTGTTTTGTGTGTAAAACACTTGTCTAAAACCCAGTGCTGGATCTACCTAACCACATTTACAAGTTGTTTGTGCTCGTCCCTCTCCCCCCACCGTGTCACTCCCACAGCCAAACCGGTAAGAAGCTGATCTCTCGGTGCCGGATGCTGATCCAGGAGAACCAGGAGCTGGGTCGGCAGCTGTCACAGGGCCGCATCGCCCAGCTGGAGGGGGAACTCGCCCTGCAGAAAAAGTACAGCGAGGAACTCAAGTCAAGCCAGGACGGTAAGGGACACACTGGGTTGTTAGGAACTGTATTAACTGCTGTAAATTCATATATATATATATTTGTTAGGGTTTGTGGTTGAGTAGCTTATTGTTGGTACATAAATTTCAAAACAAAACCTTTGTTGTATTACTTTTTCTAGAAATTTAAAATTGGCTATAGGAGTTTGGGCTCATTTTTTATGTTGCACAGCCAAGCCCAACATAAAGTGCCCCTAAAGTTTTAGGTTTGGTGCACCTATTTTCAAAACTGAATTTACAGCCCTGTGTCAGGTATGTATCATTTACACCTACACGTATGATGTGCTGTCCTCACAAGTCTTGGTTGTTGAAAGAGTTGATATAATCTGTCTGTGTCTCCTACAGAACTGAACGACTTCGTGATCCAGCTAGACGAGGAGGTAGAAGGTATGCAAAGTACAATCTATGTCCTTCAGCAGCAACTGAAAGACTGCCGCCAGCAGCTCGCTCGGGCTCAAGAAGAGCTGTCGAACACTCGGACAGAATTGAGCCAAGCCAAACTCATGGATAGGACAGAAAGGACTCTCCAGGAGACGCCCCAGTCCGCAGCAAGCTCCTCGGAGGGCCTCGGCCCCCGCCACAACCCCGGCCACGCTTGTAATAGCCTGGCCAACCATTCGTCTACGAGTAGTAATGACCTGCCCGCCAATAACGGCGCTCATGTTTTGACTTCCCTGCGTACGAAGACAGAGCCTAGCGAGGAAATAGAAAGCAATTCGTGCAAAACGAGCCAAAATGCTGCCGAATTGACTCCCAACTCGGACCCCCTCCTGGAGGCGGGTCATAAACACGAACAGAACCAGGTCCTGACCAACACTGTCTTGGAGGAGGTTTCCAACTCAGATAGTAGTCCTAGTCAGACTTGTTTGGAGGAAAAGACTGCAATATCCCTTGACGGTCTCGCCAGTAACGAACCCAATTCGATTGGAAGAGACCCTAGCTCCCCCGAACAGACTACTGAACATAATGGCGTCCCCGACAGCGTTCCTCGTATATACGGTCAGGGAACTGCGTAGATTGGACTGCGCTAGTCGCGCAGAGTCTTTCCAAATATTTGTCCGAAGCTTCAATGTTGTCCAGGTGATCGCTGTCCTGCGTACGAGATTGTTTGTGCCTGTTAATACTATCTATTCACCCATATTATGTTGGTAGCTGGACATAAAACTGAGAGTATTTCTGTGCTGCAAACAGTGGTAAGAATAGCAGGTACACTTTATAGTTGTAAGGAGGACCCTGTTCGTTTATAGTATGAAAAAAAGTCTCTTTGATTATTTCTGTGAACACTAGTAACTCTGTGCACTACTGTAGATTGTGTAATGACTGTTTTCTGCTGATGTTTTCAGTGATCTTGTTCATTATCGAACATCCCGGCACTACATGAAAAATCCAACAATCTGTACTTACAGATGACAGTTTTTCCCCAGTAAATTGGTAAGCAGAGGCCAATAGTATATGAACTTGAAGAAAACAAAACCAGATATCCCAAAGGAGGTCAATCACATTTTTGTCTTAATAGATGAGAAGGGAAACATTTTTTTTTTTACAAATGGATAAATTGCATAACTGACCATTTTTCTTGAGTGGTATCATTGCTGCAGCTGTAACATTTTATTGAAGGGGGTAGGAGTATGTATTACACAACTATTCAGGTCTCACAGGGTACATCTTCTTTCACTGGTGACAATTGTGGACCAAACTGAAAACAACAGGGGCTCCGTTGTTTCGAATTTTGTTCAATGTGTACAGTTATCCAAAAGAAGAAGAAAAAATTGGCAGCTTTCACAACTCGACAACTTCAGGAAATGTCCACTGTAACCATTCTGGCTAAAATTACCCTCTATAGATCCTTGAAATATCCTCTCTATGATTGTACAGCATCTTTCTCCCCCCAGTTTCCACAGCCTTTCAAAAGCAAAGAGATTGCAACTCAAAACATTGAGATACATGTAGATACAACTGATACCTAGAGAGTGGGGGTACTTTATAAAATAATGATTTTGAACAAGGTCTTGATATGTATGTATGCTTTTGCCAACACTTCTATCTGTTTTAAGTACATGTTCCAGACAAAATAAATCAGTCACCTCTATGAGTTGAAGACTGCCTCTCTAGATCTTCGCTTTACTTCAGGTGGGGTAAAACCAACTCCCGTATGTAAAATTGTAAGTACTCGGACACAGACAAACATGTTCTGTTGGTGTATTTCTATGTTTTCTACTGGGAAGACCCGACTCTATACGACCAGTGGCTCTGAGATGTGTCTATAAATTTTGGTTGCAGTTCTGGAGGCTGATGTCTTTTTGAGTTACAGATGTACAGTCACACGTTCAAGCCAAAGCCTCAGATTCTCGTGGTCCTCAAAATAAAGTTCACCTAATTCTGCAGAACTTGTGTTTCTTTGTCATCTTACTGTGTACAAAGTTACATAGATAGCACTTAGATTATCTATTTGAATGATACTACTAGAACTTAGATGTTGAGATTGTAACACTAACTTGAATATGGGCAGGGGCCACATTTGCTCTAATGCTGTGCTTAAATCATAACGTTTATTAAATTCTTAATCTTAAAAGAAAATGGCTAGTCATTCTGTACACTTTTTCTACTGGTGGATATTTTTACCCTCCCTTTCTATGGGAGGGTAAAATGATTTCTATGGGAATAGGTAGTACATGACAAGCCAAAGCCATTTGTTTGGGTATTAGGAAAAAACTATCCCCAGGCTTCAAGGTACTTCAGTGAATATTGCAATGAGAGTTTTTAGTGATGTTGCCACTATGGTAACATGCAGTGGAGATGCTAACAAGAAATGTGTAATCTAAAGAGGTTTTGAATAACTTTCAATTGACAAAGATCATTGTAAATCGTTTGTTTGACCTGTGGAAATGTTATGCAACACTAGTGACATTGTTGTGTATGTTTTGCCAGAAATTACAAGAGTTATGCCTCAAGAATATTATTTTGGCATATGAGAACTGTCTTTGATGTTCATAATTTTCATTTTCCCATTGCATACAGCTTTAGTACACAATGACTACATTGCTACGTACGTACAGTTAAGAGAGTAATGTTGACTTAATACCTACAGAACGAACCAATCAGAGTTTATGCCCAATATATGTTTACCGAGCTACGCATAGCTGTGTTTGACCATGCCATTGACGACATAGGCTGACAAACCCATGTACGGGGAAAACATGTTGTTCCACCTCATTCTGTGCTTTGGACTCGGAGTCCTGCAAACCGCAGGTAACGATCGATATTCTTGCATGTACACTATTTGTTGTTTGCATACAATACCATGAATTGGTATTGTATGCAAACATGGATGATATGAACGAAAGAATGGTGATATACCATGGTAATGTGCTGAGACAGAAAACGTAGAACTTTCATTTTCAAACCCTTTGTCGCGTAGAGCTTGCTGCGTACACTTACCAGGTGCAAGGTCAAATACGTTTATAGCTAACGATATAAATAAAGAGAATAGACAAATGATACAGTATATGACTCTTAGAAATCAGGATCGCTATTTCTTATTGATATTTCCCAGCTATAGCTACCTTTCACAATCACAGTCGAACTGAATTCTCCCCTTACGAATAGGTTACATATTACATGTACATTCAGGTAGACGTGTACATAGTGACGTCGGGGGTCGATGGCGGTTTCTATTACATTGTACATGAACTTCCGCTAAGAAAACAATTCTTATACCTTGGATGTCGAAACAAATTAACATAACAAGCATCCACCATCCTCATTTCAAGCCATTTACAACTTTTAAGTTGTGACTGGGTCCCATTCGGGTTTTTAATCTATGATTATCGCGGATTAATACTGAACGATGCGGGTACATGCATTGTACATTTCTAACCACTAGAAACAAGAGAAGTTGAGAGTCCCAACTTCACCAAATGTTTATCAAGAGATTGATGTTCCTGAAGAAGTATAACACTCTATCTTATAAACCCAATTCATTCTTGCAATGCCCCGATTGTTCCAGGCTAGGTGGACAGTGCTTTTATCACCACAATTGTACTAGTACTATGATAGTGGGCAGGTCCCAAATAAACACATTGGGGTGAAAATGGGGTGAACTTAGACACCGGTCATAGAATTAAAATCTGGCCTGGAGGCAGCAAGAGTTCGACATATACATGTGGTAATCTATGAAGACGATGATTGATTGAGCCGATCCTTAAACCCTACAGTTCATAGATTATGTCCAAATCCCGATTGAAGTATGCCATATGTACACTCCTTGGTCACAAGTTCTCGAAAAACCAAAATAGCTTTCCGGAAGTGTATTTGAAGGTGATGTCACTTTGCTAACATACAACAAATTTAATTACAGGACAAAGGACCACTGGATTGCCTTTGAGCGGAGGTTCAACCGCAGAAGGTACAGCTAACAGTATCTTTATATTTTGATCTCTAACTGCATATGACAATCGGCATTTCTATAACGTTTCCAAAGAACATGTCTGTACTTTGCTTTACTGTGTTTTTGCAAATATTTGAGCAGTATTTTTCATTTCAGGGTTGCCACTTGTGGTTCATACGGACATAGAGCTTGAAGTCTTTAAAACAAAGTCATTGGAGCTTCGTTGCAACTTCGACACTACCGCGGCTGAGCCTACCGTTCGCTATCAGACCAGCTGGTACAAGCTGAACCCTGATGGTTCCCCAGGGCCAGCTTTCTTAACCAGTGTCAATGGCCAAGAATTACACTCTGAAGATCGGCAGACAGAACTTGGTCTGGAAGGAAGGGTCTCCATCCAACCCGACAGACGCTCCCTGAACATCACCGATGTCTTTCTGTATGACGAAGGGACCTATCGGTGTGAGGTTACAGTGCTTCAGCCATTCCTAGCAACTGCTTCCTCTGACGTGAAGCTGAAAGTTGTTGGTAAGACTTTACCGCTACCTATATCATCAATATGTATTCCTCTTCTTTTTAATGATGGTAACAGAAGAGAAAAATGGTGTTATAAGTCACAACGGTGAAATTTATTATGATTTATCACAGGTCGACGTCAACTTCTGCATATAGATTCCGTGCGACCTTGTATAAGAGCAATGTAATGAGCCTACATATTTACAGACTTCCAGATCCGAGGCTACACCGAGAACATGGTAGTCGGGAAAGGAAATTCAGTGACCCTCACGTCCATTGTCTCCGGCAGCAGCCTCCCCTGTCAGAACACCTGGGAACTGAATGGGAAGGAGCCAGTCAACAATTCAGCGATAGAGGCAACACTGACGGATCAGGACGGACGCTGGACCGTCATCAGTACATTCACATTTCAGGATGATGTCTACAACCCTGTGACCCTGACGTTCCAATCTTACATCCCGTTATCTGAGAATGGAACTGCCATTGACAACTCTACACGCACTGTGGTGGTCCAACAGACCATTGTCTTTGCTGAAGGTTAGTGATTTTATGGTTCATACATCTCATTCTGTGGAATGTTATTGGCTCTGTCAATATCATTGGATGCTTGAAAAAGTGTCACTATTTGATCTTGAGTATGTTTTGAGAATCTGTCTACCAAAAAGCCTCAGGATAATCTGGACAATACTTGTATTTAGATCATATGTTTAAAACAGAATGCAATAGATATTTAGTTAAAATGATATAACAATGCAGGATGCCATTCGTACACCCTGATCTTGGAATAGCCGTTATGAAAACAGATTTGGCAATATCTCACGCTGATTTTCGGTTTCTTGCACCGTCGAAACGTTATTCTGAAATCTGCGTAGTTAGTCTCCTCCGGCTCCGCGCCGTTAGCCGTTAACAATGAATGAGGCTGACAATGTATAGTTTAACCATACGAAGGCTTTCTGTCTTTCTTTCTCTTTTCCAACAGACTGTGACAGCCGTGTTGTCAAGTTTGCTGCCTCTGAGGCTGGGTGCACCATCGCTGCAACAGTTCTGGTTCTCATTGCCTTCAGTATTCACGTATCTGACGGTAAGACACGGGATTGCCTCTGAAGCACAATCACTGAAGATTCAATTCAAATAAATTCAAATTAGGCATAGTTAGCTACTTACACAAAAGTTTACTTTGCCTATCATTCTATCCATTCTTAAACCATTCTAGCAGTGATGTTAAAAACAAATTCACAAATGAACGAATAACTGTTACATGCTGTCGATTCTATTTTCCATTAGTTACTTAAGAGATTTTATCACTAATCATGACAGCCACATCGGCCTGGCTGATGTCTGTGGTGTTTTTTTTTGTCTCACTTACTAGGCGGTCATGGCCACTGTTGGGCTATCACTTGGTACTGGATTGTGTACCCTCTGATTGTGGCTCTGTTTCTTGGAGTTGTTGTTGGCATCCCTGTAAACTTCTTTGCAGTTCAGAAAGGTGGGCAAAAATAATTATGTACCGGCATTTTCAGGATATCGATCGCGATGTGTTGTACTGATAATGCAATTATTTTAATAGTGAAATAGTGATGTTTACTCAGTAACCGACCATCGGGTTGCAAAATTGTCCAGAAAACAACTAGCCTGTTTTGAAATCCCTCTTCTCAATCCTTTTTCAAGTTTTTGTTCCACCACCTACCTAAGTATGTGTTCTAATATTACTCAGCAAACACCAATCACTCACTTGCCTTACAGTGACGATGGATGCAGGCATCGCTGCAGTGATTGTGCTGTCAGCTCTCACACCCTTTGTTCTCCTCGGGTTAACTCTTTGCATCGCAAGGAAAAGGTTATTAATTGGCTAGATAGAAATATATGTGAACTGTTGTTCGTCCGATTACACGTCAGCCATGCCAAGACACTGAGTTAAGCCGAACACACGAATTGAAAGTCTAGTGTCAGTTTGGCCAGCCTAAGGGGGGGGGGGGGCAGATATCGATCATGATTGGTATCATTTGCCACAGTTCCACGCTTCCACTTTAACAGAACACACACACATACACACACACACACACACACACACACAAACAAACACAAATTCTAAGGTAAAATATTTTAGCACGAAAATTAGCAAGGCATTTGTAAAATTCATGCATGTCCTCCAATTGTAATCCCAGGTCAATTCAGCATGCGCGTTGAGCGCTCTATGAGCCTGTACGTGCAATCTAATGAAATAAACCAATCACTATATATGTGGAGACACCTGATGGCAGAGTAATGATCACACACAAAATGTAAAAACTATCTCCGAATGTCCGAATAATGAACGACATGTAACGCATTGCGACATAGTAGTGCTTCGGTAATTTGCTATGTATCATGCTTATGATAGTGTTGGCTCTGATATAGCAGGTAGATGCATGTGCTGATACCAATGGTAATTGTGACAATAAACCTTAAACAGTCGTGCTTAACATAATGAATATGTCTACACTC